TAATTTTTCGTCTCCAGGAATTTGGATATTCGATACTTTATATTATTGTGCCGGCGGGTGACAAACAGTATGTTATTTGGTCATTTGCCATTGTTCTGCATGAGCTGGGGTTTCTGACTCTCCGCCACATTTGCGGCATGTTAAGGATTGAATATTGAATGGTTATCCATATGAGAAGCCTCTTGAGACGGAATTCTCGAATCTTGAGAATTGAGAGTTAATTTATTGACTTTATTTTTTGGCCCCTTCTCTTCTTCGCCTTTAAGGCTATACGGGGTTTTCCCGAGCCAGAGGAAGTGAGTGTGGATTTAAAAGACTCCTCCGGCACCGGGACTCGAACTCGTGACTATTTTTTTATCATTTGTCTCGTATATCACACCATACATTGGCGGGCAACGGTGTTGCTGTGCACACGCGTTGGCCCGTTCGGCCACCCCACCCACTCATTTATTGACTTCATAGTTCACCGTCTCTAACAGATCTAGCATAAAAACCTCGTCCGCAGAAATAACCTGGGGATTAACGTCTCATCTCGCCTATATAGATATAATAACCGAATCCTGAAACATGCCATTTCTTCTTTGAACCCAAACTTGCTGGCCAATCTTGAGACTTTTCTGTGGTATATTACAACCTCTGACTCGGTATATTACAACCTGTGGTATATTACAACTTTCTGAATATTACAACCTCCATCTGGCTCATTTAAAACCACACACGGTTACACGAAACTTATAATCAGCATGTGTCCACAAAAACAAATATATATATAATAGTTGTGTAGTGTACGTTTTCCTCGTCCGAGACGAATGACAAATATGCTATTGTTATATAAATATACTAATATTATAATGTTATTACTATTGTATGTTGGCAATAGATATTATATATACCTACGAGCTTTTCTTTTGAATTTATTGATATGTAATTTTTTTTTTATTACTGAATATTACAACCTTCTGTCACTTGGACATCGGTTATGTACATAGGTAATGTCGCATTTGAATTATATATCACATTCAAATGTACAATAAACATATGCAAAATAATAACTAAATAATAATCAAAAAGTATATACAATAAATAAAATAATACAACATAAAAATAAGGAAAAAAGCATCTTATTAATCTTGTTTAATCTTATTAAACACATTTTGCATTAATATATTTTAGATATGCGTACATTTTTTTTTCTTCATTTTATTTATGCTAAACAGCTGTTTAATATAACCTTCCTGATCTGTGTTAATATAACCTTCTTTGTCCTTCAGTATGTATTTGGATGGCTCCGTGAGATTTCTACAGCAATATATTTTTTTCTTTCTGCATATAAGCGATCTTGGTTTTTCGGCCTTAATGTAACCGGAATTGGCGAAAAGTTGGGAAGTTTCAAATTCATCTGTATGTTGGCTTTGTATTTTATATTTTTCCATTTATAACGTTATTACTGTTATTATTTATCATAAGGTTGATTGGAGCTAGGAAAATATTAAGCTGTCGAACAAAAATGTGTGTCTTTGCCCATGTTGAAATAAGTAATCCCTATCTATATCTAAGATCATTCTCTATAATGGTTTTAATTTACTCTTCCATGTATCCAATATGTTGGTATATAAAAAAATTTTAATTTTAAAAGCTTGGGTTTTTTTTTATAAGTAAAAAGGTAAGGGTTTCTTTGAAATGTGTTTTGGGGTTCAAAAGGGTAATAGTCCGGGAGCCCGTGCCAAAAAAGGTGTCTTATGTCTTACAAAAGTTTCTTATGATAAATTGAACATATCCACAGGCCTGATGAGAAAAATGCACACATCTGCCATCATATAGCCGCTGAAATACAAAATGGCGGCCAGGCGAAGATAGAGACCCTGTATGAGTAGATCACTTATATAAAAAGAAAACTAACAACGCTTTAAATTTGTAGTGTCCTAAGACATGAAATAATAGTCAGTTACCCCATACTTGGGCTACTGCTTTCCAATTTGCGGTATGAAGCTCAGCCGTATCTTTGTTTATCCTATCTGGTTTTTGGCCTCCCACATGGTCCCTTGCCTACTACTCTGGCATTCCTTGTCTTGTAGAGGCGTCCTGATGGATTACTAAGAGCTACATGCCCTGCCCATCTTAACCTCCTTGCCTTCATGTCATGAGATTGACCCGTTTCTTTCAACAGTTCTTTATTGTTCCTTCTCCTCCATGTGTCAAGATTCTGGTCCCATATAGGTCCTGTTATCCTACGTAGAACTTTTCTTTCGAATCTCTTAATTCTGGCTTCTAGTGTGCCGGTTAGAGCCCAGGTTTCACAGCCGTACAGCAGAACTGGCTTAATCACGGCGGTATACACCCTTATTTCGAGATTTCTGGAGATTTTTCTGGATTTCAGTTCCTTTGAAAGAGAGAAGAAAGATCTGTTCGCACTTGCTATTCGCTGGTCTATCTCTGTTAGTTGATCATTTATTGAGGTTATTGTGGAGCCGAGGTATTTGAATCTGTCTACTTTCGGGAATGACTTAGAGTCCACGCAGATCATGTTATTAGGGTGGATGTTTCGGCTATCATGTATTTTGTTTTATCTACATTGACCTGTAGTCCGATTTGTTCTGCTTCTTTAACAGAGTCCGAGCGAGTCTCTCAATATCCTCTTGATTACTTCCGAGGACAGCTATATCATCGGCATATACTAGGATTTTATGTTTCATTCCAACGTGAACTCCTCTATCTTCGCCTGATGTTGTTCTTTCTCAAGTGCTAAGTTGTACAGCATCGGCGAGAGTCCATCTCTCTGCCTCAAACCCGTTCGAACTTCAAAGGCTTCTGATACTTCTTGTATTAGTACCCTGCATTTAGGATCATTTGTACACGCCTTCGTCGACCTCACTAATTTCCCGGGAACACCCAGCTCAGTCATGATCTTCCAGAGACAGTTTCTGTCAACGGAGTCATAGGCTGATTTGAAGTCGACAAATAATGCGTGTACGTCCTGATCTACTTTCCATCGTTTTTCAAGTACTTGTTTTAGGATGAATATCTGATCTAGCGTACTCCTCCCTCTCCTGAATCCTGTTTGATGGTCGCCTATTATGTTTTCATAATACGGATATATCCGATATAGCAGTATATTAGTCATTATTTTATATGTGACCAGAAGAATTGCTATGCCTCTATAATTGCCACATTCATACATGCAGCTCTTCTTAAGGATAGGACAGATCAACCCTGTGTTCCATGCTTCTGGTATCCGTTCTTTCTCCCATATCTTCTGGAATAGATCTAACAGCTTGGCTCTGAGTTCTTCTCCCGCATCCTTGAACAATTCTGATGGTAGGTTATCTATCCCTGGAGCCTTTCTTCTTTTAAGCCTGCCGATAGCTATTTCCACATCCAGAATATCTGGTTTTTCAACCTCAAGTGGGTCGATGTCCTCAGTGTGGTCCATGTCTTCTTCGTTTGTGGGGTGCCCTTGGTTAAGCAGCTGCTGGAAGTGTTCCTTCCAGATGCTTAGGATCTTTTCTTTTGATGCCGTCAATTTGCAATATTTCCCTCGCATTTGTGTATTTCCCGCTTTATAGCCTACGCTTTCTTTCCTGATATCTGCGAAGAATTCGCATATATTTCCAGCCTGTCAGTTTTCCTCAATAGTTTGTAATCTATCTTTGAAGAAATCTCTTTTGGCTGTTCTTATTATTTTGTTTGTCTTTTTCCTGGCGTATATTTGTCCAGCATAGGTTGATCAGTTTGTAAGCAGAGGACTTTTCATCTTTCCTCCACCACCTTTTCGCATGCTTCTGTGAACCATTTCTTAGTTTTTCTTTTTTCCTGAATCCCTATTACTTCCTAAGCTGTTTGATTTAGCCCTGACTCTAGTGCATCCCAGTGTTGTTCAACCGTGAGACCTTCCGAGTTCAAGAGTTCGAATTTATTTTTCAGCTCAATTTGAAATTCAGCTTGTACTATTGGTTTTTTCAAATTACGGAGTACGAATACCTCTGTCTTTTCCCTTGGTTACCAATGCGGTGGATTCGCTTCAGCCTCTGACAGAGTTTGATTCTAATCAGAGTATGGCCCAAATTACAGTCTGCTCCACGATAACTCCTTATGTCTGGTATGGAGCTTATCTATGTCCTTGTGCAGGAACATCGTACTGCTTACTACTAGACCTTTAGCTGCTGCCAGACTGATGCATCTCACTCCATTGTCATTGCTAGTTTCGTGGAGACTTTGGCCTCCGATAATGGGCTTAAATTGGGTTTCTCGACCAATCTTGGCATTGAAGTCTCCCATGACTAATTTTATATCATGTTTTGGAGCGTGGTCCACAACGTTTTCTTACTGATCGTAGGTATCGTCCTTCACCTCATCCTCTTTTTCTTCGGTTAGTGTATATATATATATATATATAGGAATACATATACATATAGGACATACATAAGCTCCATACAAGACATAAGGAGTTATCGTGAAGCAGACTGTAATTCGGGCCACCCATCCAAGTACTGACCACGCTCGACGTTGCTTAACTTTGATTACCTATTACGAGCGCCTTAGCCCGTACGGCTACCCCGACCTGGCTAATATGGGTTTATATATTTACATATATATTTGCCTTTATATATATACATATATATATATATTGAGAGAGGGAGAGAGAGAGAGAGAGAGAGAGAGAGAGAGAGAGAGAGAGATTTATATTATCCTGACAAGGGACTTATTGTCACACCATTTTCTTATGTCACTTAGGTATTGCTCCGAAAATATCTAAATTAATTCATATTCTTAAAGGGGATACCAAATTCATTGGACGAATTTCCTGGCGAAGACTTCAAAAATGTGAAAATCATCACAATTGCCAGAGGTTTATCATATCCTAGAACACTGTTCCTTTATTTGAGATTTATGTCCTAATAAAACCCTAACTAGAGCAGGAAGGACATGATGTTATAGTGTAAATTATGCATTCCTGCTTATGTTTTAATAACATGTGCTTTAAATAAGATTATTGATCACCTCACATGTTAAGATCACAACTGGGTTATTGCCTTAATGTATTCAATTGTTTTAAATTTAAATGATAATTAAACAATTTCATAATTGACGTCCGCCAATTTTCTTTGAGATATCAGATAAGAAATTTAGTGTTCAGACTATGAAAAAATAAATTACACGGAGTCCGTCAGGAGGTTATCATGTGTGGTCATCGGTATTATAACACTTGAGAACATACGTATTACTTAAAAGAAAATTCTCACAAATAAGATTTTACTGTTTTACCAAAATTTAAAAATGACCAAGAAACTCACCCCACACATGACTGATTTGCAGGCAAGATCCATTGCTGATGAATATGTGAAAGAACTGATTGAGAAGGTAGTTGCGAACCCAATCTTGATTGACGGGCTAACTAGAGAACAGATCGGCCAGAGGGTATTCAACATGATCCGCTCCGACATCTTCCTTTTCGTCAAAGCTATACTGTCGCTTGGGGCAGAGGTAGGTCACGTCGACACCCTCGAGGATGAGAGGTATCTACTCAAGGAAGGCATGGAGATTGGTACCGCCTTCAATTACTGTTTCTTGAAGAAGTATAGAATAAGGCCGGAAACCAAAGAATTACCTAAGAAAGAGGATTGATGCATGAAGAACGACTCCTATTTAGAGAGGGTTGAGGCTGTGTGTTCATTCAGTTGGATATTACCAATGGTGTAATAAATAGTAAATTCTTTTTTTTTTATAATAACATTTATATATAGTTTTATAGATTGTACAATGGTTTTTTTTTTTTTAATAATAAAAGTTGATATATTGTCGATTCAGATTTGTACTCCACTGATTATTTCAGAAACTGGCAAAGTCTCGGATCGGAATTCCTTTAGCAAGGTACAGAAACAAGCAACAGCAATGGGAATGTATTGAAAATGTTGTTTGTTCATTGATGTTCTTTAGTAAAGTACTGAATAAAATTGTCACAATTCTACGATTTAAATTTTTATTGAGTTAATAACAGCCAAGGCGCTCCAGCAAATGCCCAGGAAAACACTAGTATTCCTTACAACAATATATAACTGTATGCTAAGGACAACTAAATTCCCACTACAATGGAAATACTCACACAAAAGAGACAAACACATTTTCAATCCTACATACTACCTACCTATCAGTCTCCTTCCAAAATGTTTCAAAAAGTATTCAAAAACCTAATAAACAAAAGATTGGTCGACATACTAACGGACCAAAACATAATTTCTGACCATCAATTCGGCTTACGTACATTTCATTAATCTACAAACCAACTACAGAGTTACTGATTATTTAGATGGAGCACTAGAGCAAAAATAATATGCATGTTTCTGGATGTAGCCCAGGCATTCGATAAAGTCTGGCACCTGGGACTTCTTTTTAAACTCAAAACTATGCTACATCATGCATATTATCTCATTCTTCAGTCTTTCCTTTTCGGCAGATTTTTCTCTGTCCGGCTGGGATTAGAAATTTGCTCAATTCGACCAGTGTCGGCAGGAGTACCTCAGGAATCAAAATTGGGTCCATTACTCTAGATAATCTATAGGCATGACATGTATACCACCTCCGAAACATTGACTGCTACTTACGCTAACGATACAACAATTTTACATGAGGTTGTGATGGCCGAGTGATCCGTTTTAGCATCTTAGTGCCTAGCGAAGCCGGTTCGAATCCGGCCTGGGAGTAGGTTGACTTTTATTTCGTGGAGGAGGGGGGGAGGGGGAGGGGTACGACTTACACTGTACATCATCTCGGGTTAATATTTGACAGAAGGATGACCTGGGCCCACATGTCAAAATGAAACGAAAGAATTTGAACAAGCTATTATAATGCGATTTTGCAGCAAACTCTTGAATCTCCCATATTCTTTAGTTCTATGTGTTACTTTTATTGGTTATTTAAAGTATTGAAGCCAAAAAAAAAAAGGCTAGAAAAAATAAAGAGGAACAAAACGAACTTAAATCAAAATCCACTAACGCTGTGTGGTTACAATATCGTAAATACGAAGCGAAATTATATTTTAAATCAAACTATGGAAATGAGGATTTTGATGTACTGATAAAAAATATTAAAGGAGAAGACAAATAAAAGGTAATGCTGCCGTTGAAACATACAAAACCAGGCTTGTTTCATCTCACATCCTAAAACGAAAGATCCAATGATTTAAACAAATATTAATGCCTGAGAAATACCACAAATACTATGAATGAATTCTTACATCATATATTGAAAGTGACAGCCTCCTTCAGCCCGATTATACACAGGAAGATCAAGATTTCAACTATTGAGTTAATGCAGAACAGTTTAACATTCTATTATTTTTACAGTAATTATTATACATTTATATTTTTATTTTACTTACTTATTTTTTACAAAAAGTTTAATATTTATCTGTTTATTAATTTATTTTGTCTAGTGTTATGTAAACGCCATGATTTTTGTAAAAATAAAATTAATATATTATTTCTGAACTTCTTTTCAATATTTTAACTAGTCTCGTGAAAAAAACTCTTATTCCATATTCGATATTTATAACTGTCTTAAAGAAACATTGTTCATTCAATGTTTCTGACAACGATAATTATCACAGTTGAATATTAAAATTTCATTGAGTTTGTACATATTTAAATTGAGATTATAAATAAATCTGCTAAAGAGATTCTGGTTTTATTTGTTTACTATAACCATTAAAGACTTTTTTTTCTATTTTTCTACAGGTTGTTTCAATTTCACTGTGAGCCACTGTAGATATAAATACACGGCTTAGCACACGATCACAATGTAGATGGAATTTCAAACAGTTTTGAATGTATAAGCAGGGGTGCTCATCCCCCCAAAGGTCGATGGCGCAAGATCCTACTCCCTCTCTCCTCCTAAGATATTTTATTGCTCAACTTTTCTTAAAAACAGAGCAAGCTAAGGTAGAATTAGAAAAATCGTAGATCATATACAATTACACTTGCTGCGGTATGTTTTCCTCTTGTCGGTTAGTTCGAAAATTAATAACCTCGTCGAAATATGCCCCGTCAAAAATTCAAAAACCAGTCGAAATATGCTCCCCTCAAAAATTTTGATGGCGCAACTTGTGCCATGAAACCCCCTTCTGAGCACCTCTGTGTATAGGGAACCGTATCCATGTGGATTTATATGGCAGCAATAGAAAATTAAAATAACTACATACAGCCTCTCACATAAACAACTTAATGTTATATTTGAATATATGGGCCAATTCTTTCTACATATTAAGAGTTTATTGGGATTATTAGTGGTTATTATAACCATTGCTCTCTGACAATCGATTTTCTTAAGATATAAGCAAATCCCCAACTGTTCCTTTCCATTTGAAGTGATGCCTTATTAAATAGCGAACAACAACTCTTACGTCAGATCTATCTTCTATTTTTAAAGTCCAATTATTAATTCCTATTTCTTTTCCGTTTTCTTCCTCACTATCAAAGATTTTTTCAAATAGGGTGAAGATTCTTTTTCACTTTCATCTTTACATAATTTTTTCTTAAGATACTAAAGTGTTAAGATAAAAAAGAATCGTTATAACATACTAAGAATTTATATCATGTTAGAGATTATTGGAAGCTCTCTATAACAGAATAAAAAGCTTGATGTGAGATTTTCAATTGAAAAGATTCTCCATAATAGACAATAGAAAGCCATTAAGGCTCACAGTAGCTTTTTTCGATTCAACTGTTAAACATCGGAAACATTAAAACATATTACCTGGGCCAAAAAATAGAGTACAGTAGCTGATTAAAATTTAAATGGGTTATTTATGACCCACTGTTGAGGTATTCAAAGCAGAGGTGGCAGTATATGCAAGTTATCAGAAGGCCTCGACAGTGCGTGTTCATTATTAAGAGGGTAAGATGACTGAATGGTTGAAGGAAGGTGAATGGAAGGATAGCCTCTAGAGACAGGCGGATCAGCACCCAATCACTTTCGGCTTGCGATGTAAGGGATCAGCCTTGACACTCCGCTAGGATGGTAACCACAACTGGAGGGATCAAACTCCGGACTTATGGGAGGATGAGATACTGATGGAGGGATCAATCTCCAGACTCAGTATATAGGACTGCAAGCGGATGGATCAGCGTCCAACTTGCATGGAGATAGAGAAGAGTAAAAAGGTATCAGGATGATATTAAATAAGAAGAGCAGACTGAGGTGAACCAAGAGCGTATAAGATACACATACTGACCATCTGCATATGGGTCTACACCCTGAAGGGGTGGAGCTCCATAGAACTGACAACTTTTTTTTTTTTTTTACATTTTCTTTAAATCTATATAATTAAAGCAATAGAATTTATTTTTTTTAAATAAATAATGATAAAGAGAAATTAATTTATGAAACATTTAAAGCTGGGTTTTAAAAAAAAATATGGTTATCTTACTTCATTAAAATACAACCATGCAAACAATAATGAAAAAAATTCTTCTTACAGATGGCTACTGTATGAGCACAGTTGTAAATAGTCTGCTTCAGTTTAATTAACATATTAACTTCAGCTTGAAAAACTTTTTTTCTAATGCGGCAGGAATTCTATCTTGAATAAGGTGACCAGATTTTAACATTGGTAAAGTGGGACACCATTGACCAGAGAGAGGGAGAAGGATCATCCAAATTTTTTGTTATAATATTTAACCTAATGATAATCTGGTGCAAATGTTAATCAGGTGACATAGCATTCACCTGAAATGAGGTTGAGAATTTAGTTCTAAAGGCGTATTTTTGAGGGCGAATAATTTGATGATATATATGACATATAATTTATGACTTCAGTAATAACACAGTTTTTATGATAAATATTTTGTACCACCAGTCTATACACAATCATATAGCTCTTTTTCAAAATGCTATGAAACTTACTGAAGGTTAAAAAATTTTGGAAATCGAAACAGCAATTGAAGTTAACTTGTTGATGGCGAAGATTTAAACTTTTCTTATCAATATATTTTTTTAATAACGATACCTTATTAAAAAGATCATTTTCCAGTAATTTATTAAGTCCATACAATGGTGGTTGAGTTCAAACAACTGATTAACTATGCGAATTTTGCTAAGAATTTCTCGAGTTCTTAACAATTATTAGGTATTATTAAAGCTTAAAATTATAAAATTAACAAAAACAAAATAAAACTCATATTCTGGCAAAATAGGCAGATTACTGCCGAAGTATCTGAAAAATTGTCAAAAGATTTGGAAAATGTCTCATAATATTGATTGGACCAATTTAAAATTGACAATAAATATTGAAAAGGAGGACTTTGTTTACAAAATGGTTGTTTAAAAAAAGGATGTTTTTTCTTTAGGAAGGTGGTGCTTCCGAAGAGGATTTACCTGGTGCCATCTACACCATATCCAAGAATGTCCTCGGGAAGAACATGACAGAAACAATAGCACCATTGGTAAGGGTGCTTCCTATTGGTAAAGTAGCCAATGCTCCAGGAGCTTGTACCACACCAGAAGGAAAGCCAGGAACATGCCAGGATCTCAGCAATTGCCCTCAACTTCTGCTCAACCTTGGTGGCTTGAGGCAGAGTATTTGCTTCAAGAGCCTATTTGTACCTGGTGTCTGCTGTCCCAACTCTGGGTAATATTTTTTTTTAATTATATGTTTATTATATTTTTAAACAAGTTATATATTCAAATTAAAATCTTCAATTGACTAGCAAGAAAATATAATTATGATAAATAAGCCTGAAGAAGGTCTAATGACCATAACCGATTGGAATAAAGAAGTAAAAAAATAAATAATAATAAAAAAAAATAAATAATAAATCTTTTTATTTTATTTGCTCTCACTCCCTTTAACATCAAACCTCTATTCAAAACTAAATATTATAGAGATGATTTGTTTTTGTTTTGAAAATCTATTACCTAGGTATAAAAATTATGAATTGTAAGAACTTTTTTATAACATATTTGTTAAAAATGTCCAAAGCATTTCCTGATAGCAAAAAATGATCATTTATCAACCTCACTTTTTCATGACATTTACAGTTCTTCAGGGAGTGCATCCATTCAACCTATATCAACAACAACAAGAAAACCGATTTATATTTCAACCACTTCACATTATCCTTCAGTATCTATTCCAGAGGTCACACAAGAAATTACACCATTTCAAGATGAAGGTATATTCAATATTACTTTAACAAAAATTTCAAAACAATAGTTCAGATGGAAACTATAGTGAGTTAATATATTTTTGTTTTTATTGAATATAATATATATACTCGAACTTTAATAACTATTTATTTTTTTTTATCAATCTGTTCTATCCAGAGGAAGGAGATTAATTTTAATTATCCCTAAGAACTTTAACCATGTACATTGGAATTTACTTCACCACAACAATACTTTAAAGGTTCTATTTTGTGTAAGTCACTTAGAGAAAAGAGAAACCCATCTATGCTGTCAATATTTATTCATCCAACATTTCTTGGACTAACAAACTTTTTATTTCTGTACTTTCCAAAGCTATTGGCATCTCATTCTCATCCATTCTTCTAGAGTGCACTACTTGGCTGAGCATCACAACTTCAGTAGATTTAATTGGATTTGCATTAAATATTACCATTTTTTTTTTTATTTCAAGAAATTCTAAGTAGGCCATTGTTTATTAAATCATAGCCTTATTTCAACTTAGTTCAATGCCAAGCCTTGGATTGAATTAGCATGCAAGTGCTTTGCTAAACCTCAATTCTTTCTCTACAGTAAAAAATAAAACAACTGATTTTAAATTATTTTTCAAGTCCTAATTTGCCTTTTTCTGCTGTAAACCATGCTACTTTTTTACTTGTTTAAACTTGAAAATTTAAATGATTATCTACTTGTCTTTCGTGCTTAAGTATCTAAACACCATTGCTGTATTGATTACATAGAGAGCAATGTCCTTCAATATTTGTTGTATGATTTACTATTTTTTTTTGTTCGTCCTCTCCTTTCTCACCTTTTCAGCTATATGGGGTTTCTCCAGACGAAGGGAGAGGGTGGTGGATTGATGACATAGAGAGATTTCTTAACTTGACTACCTTAGGGCACTCAGTATCTTATGTAGGCTGTGTAGTTCTCTCTTTGTATTACCTTTCAAGTTTCTCCCTCTCTTAAAGCTCTGATTGTTCATGAGCTGAATCCGCATAATCTTTGAGGAAATCCCTCAAATATTATAAATGTGTTTTCTGGAACTTAGTAGTTGTCTGTGGTTGTGACTTGGGCCAGAAATTCTTTTATGTTCTCTTTTCATCTTAATTAAATAAGAAAGATTATCTAATCAGAACTGCTGTGAATTAAATTTATATATGAGTCTATCAGTACTATATGTATACTTTTTACTTTCACTTACTTATATATGCAATGTATAGTAACGGTAAGTATTGGGATACTGAAAATTTTTGAGTTTGAGTTTTCAACAGAAATACATGCTTGAGGTCCCCTGACTCCAAATAACAAAGTCCCACAAAATAGTCTGTATGTGTCTAGCTCAAAAACTAAAAGTCGTATGAAAGTGAAATTGCATATTTAAGGTTTTTATAAGCTTTGGATGTTACAGCAACTTTTTCTTCAAAATCGGCAAACCGGAAGTGGTACCTAATATAATCAATTTAACACATTTTTACGATTTTCTCAAAAACGGCTCTAACTGTTTTGATTAAAATCAGAATATCAGTGTATTATTAAGCAGTTTTTAATATAATATAGGTTTTATTCACATTGATATTCTCTATCAGGGCTTAAATGGCTAATTTTCAATATTGGCTTCCTTTAAAGTAGCTTTATTTTTTTTTATTTTTTTTTTATTAACCATTTCACATTAATCTTTGATATAAAAATAGTTAAATATAAAATATGAAAGAATTTGATTATTAACTAAAGGAGAAACAAGAAATCCTAACGGATAATAGTTGCATTAGAGGAATCAAAGGAATACGAGCTAGCCCGAGCTCACCCGAAAGATTACAACAGGCTTCCATATGTAACATGAGCTTCATATAATACAGATTCATATACATATGTGGTTTTCATAAATGGTATCATTGGAATTATTTAATATATAATTGTATAAAATACAGGGAATATAAAAATATAAAAATTAAAATTTGTATAAAAATTAAAATTTGTATATATAAGGGTATTTAAAGAAATAAAAATACCCACAATGAATTTTAAATAAATATAGTGTCAACAATTTTTACTTTCACTTCCCCTTTGTCTGAAAATACTTATTTCTGCTAAGAAGAGTGTGGTAAGTGAATGTTGTGTGATGAGCCCACCAGATTTTTTAAAGGAATATTTGTTAGTACTTAAGGTTCATTATTAATTTTTTTTTATTTGCCTTCCTGTTTCATATTTACCATCGCATTTCTGCATCAAATTCATAGCCTACTGTATTCTAATATAGCATGTGGAGTACCTGATGCTCCGAAATTCCGTGTGGTTGGAGGAACTGAAAGTCTTCCAGGCAGATGGCCCTGGATGACAGCAATATACCTCCATGGTCCCAGAAGAACTGAATTTTGGTGTGGAGGCTCTCTGATTTCCATGAAACATGTTCTGACAGCAGCTCATTGTACTCGTGATACTAGGCAGAAACCGTGAGTTTACATTGCTTTAAACATACCTATATCATATTATAAAATTTTATTTTTTAGTTGCTTTTGGAAATCTTAAAATAGCACATTCATTTATTTTTGTTTCCTTAATATTGTTACATTATATGAAGAAAATGAAAATTTTAGGTGCAAATTTTTTAGAATTCATATGTTGACATTAAGTATTGGGGCAATAGTCTTAAATAATATTACTTATTGGTTGTTAATATTTACCTGCCGATAATTTGAACTAGCCAAAGATACCTTCTCTGGTAAGTAGTGGAATCTACCAATGATGGCCATCACCCTAGGGAGAGAAAACGAAGGCGACAACAAAGATTGTTCTGGTGGCTCCCCGTGCCGGCTTGGGACTGATGAGGTAGGCTAGAGCCTGGCAAATCACCCACGAGCCTGTCAGGAGGCAGCCCCTCTACCTGACTAGGAGGGCGAGGACTGATAACCCTCCCCTTCGAAACTTCTTCATCCCGAGACCTTCTTCTTCTTCTTTCTCTAGCTCCTTTGTGCCGTTAAGCGTGGAGCTGCAGTCCCAGTCCATCTTGCCCACTGGTCTCTGTCCCTGGCAAGCCCTCTCCAAATCCGAAGCTGCATTTATTTCTATGAATCGTTTATACTCCATACGGGTGATTAGCCCAGAGATGGAGGTCCCGTACCCAGAGACAACGGGTTGCCCGCAATACTCACGGCATTGAGTCTTCTCAGGAAAGGTGACCCTGAGGTGTGTACTGTAATTGTCCTTATTGTCAGTGTGACATTGTTCTGTTGTGTGTGAGTGCGCTGTGTATCGAACTCAGGAAACCAGGGGGTTGTTAATCCCCACTAGTAGAGCGCAGATACTAGAACTTGCGGGATATCCTGAGACCTCAACAAGAAATAGCCGGCAGATCCTATGGTAACAGACACGGAAACCGTCATATGGATTTCAGCATTTCGGAGGATGGAACATTTTAACTTTATATAGACCAGGTGAACTTCAAGTCCTCCTTTCAGAACTGGACAAATACAGACTTGACATTACCGCTCTTCAAGAGATCCACTGGACCGGCCATGGGCTGTTGGAGAAGAAATTCCACACAATATATTATAACGGCCTCGACAAGAACCACTCATTTGGCACTGGGTTCGTTGTGAGTGGTTGGATGAGACAACAGTTTATTGAATTCAACCCTATTAATGATCGCCTATGTTCTATCTGTATCAAGGGGAGCTTCTACAATTAGATGCTCTTTAGCTGTCATGCACCTGCAGAAACCTCATGCAATGATGAGAAAGATACCTTTTATGATGACCTGGAACGAGCCTTTGATGCATGCTCCAGATCCAATATCAAAATTCTAATGGGGGATATCAATACAAAGATTGGAAGAGAAGATGCATTTAAACCCATGATTGGCTTTAAATGCATTCAGACTCATTCAGTTTGCGTGAGGGAAGCAATGAAAACGGCAAGAGGGTAATTGATTTTGCAGCATCGAGAAATCTAGTAGTTGGCAGCGGACGCACGGAGCCTGCTACGGATATGGATCAGAAGCTGGAACGTGGCAGCACAAAATCGAGCAGAATGGCCACAGCTCATTGAGGAGGCCAAGACCCACCCAGAGTCGTAGATAGATAGATAGATAGGTAGTTAATATTTATTCACTAACCTCTTAGTTAAAGTTAATATTTTCTAAAAGGCTATTTGGTATTTAGTTTAGTTGATTTAATAATAGACTCAATGAATAGTTAATTTATAGAATTTATCATTTTTTTTTTTTTTTATTTTATCTTCACTTGTCAACAATGCTACTACCAACAAGTAAGATTTTTCTGTGTCTGACCTCATTTTTTTTTTAATAGCTGTGTTTCACTGATTCAGTGTATTTTTTGCTTTTGCTGAAATTAGTTGTAATCAGTTCAAAGTAATAGTTCTTTCTTTGTTTAAGTCAGTGATTTATCTTGTCCTGTTTATCATGCTATTACCCATCTCCTTCAAGGATCCTACTTTAATCCAGTATTATTTAATTTATTCATCAATTAGTTCCCTAAAACTGAAAATGTTAATATAGCTCTCTTTGCCAATTATGCAGCATTATACTCTTTCTCTTACTGAATAAATTAACTAAACATAAACATAAATAAAATAGTTGTTGTAAATTTTACGAAATGGTGACCTGCACTCCTATTATTCTTCTGCTATAGTGCTACTTTTCCCTCCAAAAGCATCTTATATTAGTCTTTTTTTTTTAAGCATAGTCAAATAAAAATCTACAAGACAGTCATTAGTCCAGTGATCTCTTACAGCTGGAAGAGTTTGACTCCCTAAATAATGTTCTAGAAAGGTTCCTGCTCAGATTTGAAAGGAAAATTCAATGACCTAATGAATGTGAGGACCAATATAGAAATTAAGGCATTGTTTAACAATCTCGTTGTGTGCCTATACATCAGACTTGCAAAACTGTATTGTGCAGGGAATGTCACATGGATGGACAATAATGCAATTCCACTGAGGATTGTGAAAGAACCTCGGTATGGAATCACAAATGTCGGAAGACCATATTTGCACTGACAGTAACTACCAATGCAAATAAACTGCTTGTTGTCAGAAATTGGTGTAATCCCACTTAAAAATAATATACAAACTCATAATTGATACATAATAGTGGATAATAGTTGGCTACAGAAGATATTTGGAGAGAAGTTTGAAAACCTCAACCAACTTCTCTCCAAACACAATTGGTATATATCAGAGGTCTCCAAAATTTCGTGCTTCATTGTTTGGAGACCACTGATATGTATTTATATTTATCCTTGAAGGGTTTCAGACTAAAACCAGAGGTTAATATAGACATATGGAAGGCTCTTGCTCTTGGTATGTAGTAATGACTAACAAAGTAAATTGCCAGAAAGTGCAGATTTCTTTTGGGTTTAAAATATTGATTGTGTTTATGTTATTTTAGATTTTAGATGTTTTATTTTAGATGTTAGTTTATTTCTTTGTTATTATTATAAATATTTTGTTTAATGTTGTTAACTAAAATTCTGATATTGCTTAAACTGAGATAGTATTTTATGAATTGGAAAAAAAAGGTATTTAATGTAAGGTATAGTTGGGGTTTCTCACATTGTATTTATGTATCTATGGACTTAATATCAACAGGCATCCTGCTAACGGCTTTGAGTGCTAAAATTAAAATTATTAATATGACAAAAACTAAACTGGATATTCTTATTTTATGAAGGAAATTTTTCTTTCACTTTTTACTGCATGTTAAAAAAAAAACATGTGGTATTAAATAAATTATCTTCTCAAAACCCCACTTTCTTATAATTGTATTTTACAGTATGGCTGTCAATATATAGTACCTCATTGGAGAATTCACCATGTTCCTTCAGGTGAAGTTTAACTAAGCTTAATCTTGCCTACTTCTAAGCCTGTAACACAGGAGGATCTTGCTATCCTTGTCCTTTGATTTATTACATCAAATTTTTGTTATTGTTGATTTTAAGAATTTTTAAACCAGTGCTGTGAATTTATTAAATAATTAATTTTAATGCAGAAAATAATTAAAACAGATATACAAATTTAATATTGGTTTTTATTACCACTCTATTTTTTTTATTTTTCATTTTATTTACTTATTGTTATTTATTTCATTTATAAAATAAAAATAAAAACAGAGGTGCCATCAATTTCAGTTTGTCACTCGGCAAAAAAAGTTTGAGAACCACCTTTATAAATTAACCTTTAAGTTCACAAGGTCCAATCCTCCAACATAACTTAATCCTCATCTATTGTCCACTGTATAGCAAACCCAAAGCCATAATATTATTAATTTAAAACAGATCAATTAATCTTAAACCAAGAAGGAATATTAATTTCAATTTTTTAGAACAGAGCTTGGATTTTTCTCGAATTTTGGTAGCAATAGCTCCACTGTCACTTCTTGCCATTTCATAGAAATCAAACGCTTACCATTTCTATGAACAGTTTTCAGGAAAATTACTCTAATAAATTTTTTTTTTAATGGACATATGTAAAGTTGTATAGATTTGTCTAAAATCGGTAGTAAGTTCGTATGAGTGGACAGACCAGATTTTCTTGCGTGCCTTTCAGTTTGTGCCTTTATTAAATACATCTGATTCTCAAAGTGAAAAAACTTTGTGAAAAATTAGCTGTCTAAGCTGAAAAAAAGAAATGAAAGTGGCAATTGATAAACTGATATAATTTGCAAAATTATTTATGTATCAATTATTTTACTTTGAAATTATATCTTAACCCTTCGACTTCGGGAGCTCATTTGCATGTTTCTATCTGATGGTGCATCCTGAAATCCAAAATGATGTCAAGAAAAAAGGATTTTTTTTTTTTTTTGCATAAATTTTGTTTACAATGGTTTTTTGAGTCAACCTGCAAGACCTTTACTTTAAAAACTGCATTTTAATTTTTTTTATTCGACTTTTAATAGAGGAAACATATGCCTTCCCAGCCGCACATAGAAATGCAAAATTATAGAGACAGTGCCGCAAAACTTCACTTTCTAGCGTACTTGTTCATTTCTGAAAAGAAAAAGAACTGAAAATCATCATAAAAATAACTGTGTGATCATAAAAATTAAATTATCTTACTTCTAAAAAAGGGACACCGACGGTAGTATTTAATTATACATTTCTTTGTATTTACAAATTTTTTTTCTTACTTAAAAAAGTTCCATATTGAAAGTTATAAATTTTATTATTGCACTTACATTTATTTTGAGCCTCAAATTTTTATTTTATGCAGTTTTCTTTAACTCAATTAGTTTTTTGCTCATTTTTTTCGGTTATACCATTAACAGTTTCATGACACTGGGGTGCATCGGACCTCCACAAACTTTTATATTATATAATATATATATATATATATATATATATATATATATATATATATATATATATATATATATATATATATATATATATATATATATATAAGTTAACTTTAGGCTAGCTCAACAGTACACAATTGTTTCAGATATAGTGTCAATAACAAATAACTTTTATTAATACAAATTAAAGATTTTACAAAACGTTTTTTAACAGATAACAGCTAACATATGTTTTTTTTATTATTTTAAAATGCGTGAAAATGATATCTCATTATTCACAAACTTTACTGAAGCACCCTACTTAACATATATATATATATATATTTAGGCTGATGGAAGTGGGTGTGTGTGTGTTTTAGACAGATAGATAAAAAATGTAAAAAACTTACATTTATTTGTTTAGTAGACAGAGATTCACATGTACCAAAATCAGCATTCAGTCAAAACCAAAATTTAAAAAAAAATAATATAAAATGAACTTATTAACATTTATTTGATGTATAAAACATTTAAATAAAATAGAAGTAAGATCATGGATATGACACAAACAACTGAGAAAGGACATACCTTGGTACTGATAGCTTCCAAATGGTCAGAATCTGGAACGAACATACCTGAGTCAGCTACAGGGGACTAATGAATGCACTGACCAGACCATAAGTTGGGATGGTGGCCATGGTGGGATTTCCTCCTACCTGTTTAAGCGGCGACTATCCAGGTGGGAAGGCATATATTCCAGCGGCACCAGTGACCTAACTCTTAATGGGGAGGCATGTATCCCGTCCACAGTCAAAGGGTTAATGCTGTATTATCTTATTATATATTGTAGGTCCTAAAAAATATCAACTAGCTTGATGGTATTCAAAGATTAAGACCAATAACAATCTTTCAGTTCTCTGTTGTATTTTTGAATTTATATATATTTTTTTATTCTAATAAGCGTTACAGATGATATTTTACAGACTTATATTAACCATATTAACTTTAATTGAGTAAAATTATTCAAAACATGCGTATTTCCAATATTAAAGTAGTGATTAATCAAATATTATCTTTCCAATTAAATCTGTTCGTAATTTTTGTTTGAGCATATGAAAATTCCAGGTTCCATGCAAGACAGTTTACTGTGCGGGTTGGAGATATTGATCTGAGGAGAGATGATGAACCATCTTCTCCACAGACAATTGGTGTTGCTGAGGTCAGAGCTCACCCAAAATTCTCAAGAGTCGGATTCTACAACGACATAGCTGTTCTTGTGCTCGACAGACCGGCTAGGAGAAATCGCTATGTCAGATCACTGTGTCTTCCACCACCATCAATGAGTAATGAATTATATGTTGGAAGGACTCCTACAGTTGTTGGATGGGGAACAACATATTATGGTATGTCTTTTCTCATAAAAAAAATGTTTTCATTTTCTAAACAAAGATAGATTATTTGATTTTCACCAGAGCTTAGATTTTTATGTTGGAAAAATTCTAATAATATAAATATAATTCTAATAATATAACACCTAATGAAAAACCATAAAATATTCAGCTAAATATGTCAGAATAATTCTAAAATATTCAAATATACTATTATCTCAACAAAATGTTCAGAACTAAGAAAGAAATTTAAGAAGGAATTAAAATTTTACAAAAGTTGTTCAAAAAATTTTTTATATATATTCAAAAAGACAAAAATAATCTACAGTTTATGTAATGCGGTAGTATAGATACTATTTAATCTAGCAAAAAAAAAGTACTTTTCCAGCTTTCATAAGCGATGAAATTTGTTGAAGGAGGTATTAAACGAAAGGGAATTTAATAGAAAAGTGACTAATCCCAATTTTGATCCTTATCAATATAATATTATCATAATAACCTATTCAACACATACAATTTAAAGTAAAAATTTATTTAATTAGCGATTAGCTCGTTCCATTTGTAAACATCACTCCCGTTTATACTGATCCATAACTTTACTCGCTCAAGACCTATTTGTTTGGTGCATTAGTGCTTTTGTTTGTAGTTCATTTCCTGTACTTTTAAAAACATTGAATTCTATTACTGAGAGTATAGAAGCCATTCCTGAATATTTTTTTAATTTATATCAAAAAGTCCCAAAAGCCCTAGGGATCATAGAGCTGTTCTTTTCCATATATTTTTAGTTTGTTGAAGACTAATATAAAAAGCAATTTTTAAAACTTAAACACATAATATATATCCTACGGCAACAATAGGAACTAAGAGGCATTTGTAGAGAATTATATTTAATCTCCGAAAAGGAATATTTTTGGGCATAAAAACTCACAGCCGGATAGTTCCTTTAGAAATATTTCAGGTCTTAATGACCATTTCAAAATCTTTAAAACATGATTTATCCCATCTCAATTCATTGACATTGAAACCATTTGAGTTTTGAAACCCCCCAATTTTTCAATGACTTTTATTAAAGTTTGCAAAGGAATTTTACAATCGAAACTTTGAATTTGTCACTTCTCTATGAAATTCCATTTTGTTTGATGATAATAAAATGACATGAATGACAAAATCCATCGCTCATGAGAGCAGAAAAAGATATCTATATTATATATAGTGTAGATTAATTTATTAAAATACTAATTTTGTCTTTTTGTATAATAAAACAAAATTTCAAATAAGTTTTGTTAAATTTTTATTCCTTCTCTAATGTCTTTCTTAGTTCTGAACATTTTGTTGACACACTGGTATATTTATAAAAGGTTGGCGAAAAAATAGTCCTCAGAGGAAGCCAGTGAGAACAACTGGCATGTTGGAAATATATGCAAATTCCACATAGACATTAGAAAAGAAAGGATAGGATGTAAAATGAGAAAAATGAAAATACTCACTCAAGAGGAGCCAACAAACAAATATGACATAGACTAAACTAAAGACGTTTGCCCACAAGAGTTTGAAAAACCAGAAATATATTGGAGGTAGAAATAGTCATTTCAATGCTTAAACCTAGAAAGGTTCCAGAGATGGACAACCTGCCATCAGAGCTCTTTAAAGATGGGAGAGAAGACTTAAGAGCCAAACTATCACAACCCAAAAATTTGGGAGGAGGAAAGGATACCTGAACTTGGAACATGAGCCTAATCTGACCTATTCTGAAGAAGAGCTCCATGTATACTTCTCTCTTCATATGACTTTATACATGTTATTGTGTCTAGACCTCCTCAATAAATAACTGTCAGAAGTGCCTGCCTAATGTCGCTGCCATCCTGTTGGGGAAGTGTTGTAACTGAAAAATATGTTTTTTTTTGTTGTCAATATGTTAATTTTGTCCTGTAGAACCTTCCAGTCCAGAGGTTCTTAAACTAGGGTACCTCTACAACTACTCATTTAATAGAACTTCTAGATGGTTAAGACATTTAGTATTTACTTAATATATTTGTAGTCACTTAACTATTTTAGTAAAACTTAGTAAAAACAGGCTTCCAGTTTTTATGTAATATATATTTCTTCTTATCATTTTTTGAGGATGTTTCATTCTCATCCTCAAATCTTTTTGTATAGGAATTCCTTTGGTAAATTATCCATATATTTTGTTTTTATGCACTATATTATAACATTTCAATTTATTAAGAAACATTATTTATTTTTTTTTTTATTTATTTATTTTGCTACTGATTTAAAAAAACATAATTTTCAGGTGGTAAGGAAAGCCAAGTCCAACGACAAGTAGAGATACCAGTTTGGAGAAATGAGGACTGCGATAAGACATACTTTCAGCCTATAAATGAAAACTTTATTTGTGCTGGACTGAAAGAAGGAGGAAAGGATGCCTGTCAAGGAGACTCCGGAGGACCTCTTATGCTTAGAGACAGAGGAAAATGGGTACAGATCGGAATTGTCTCTTTTGGGAACAAATGCGGTGAACCAGGTTATCCTGGTGTTTATACAAGAGTGACAAAATACATTGATTGGATTAGTAATAACATGCGTTGATCCTATATACATGTGTGTGTGTATGTATGGAGTTGAAGCTTTGAATAGCCAATTGAAAAGTTCTATTTTATGCTGTAACTTTACATAAAAAATTAAAAGTGCTATAGATTCTAGTTTTTATATAATATTTAAAACTAATTACTGATTTTTCAAATTGAAAAGTAAAGTAATTTACTTAACATTTACCCAGTGTGTGAAATAACAGTGCATATATCTTATTGTTATAAGTTAGAAAATAGTATATAAATTGTATTATTCTGTAACGGTCAAATGATTTTTAAACTTCACAACACTTTCTATACACAAATTTTTCTTTGAGTATAATTACATTATCTCATTGATACAAAGAAAAAAAATATCATAGCTTGTACAACTTGTGACTATTTGACATTAACTTTGAACTTTGGAAATGTCAGGAGACATTTTTCAAAAAATTAAGAGAGAATTTAATTTTAGCAATAGTATAATTGTAGGGTTATTTATTGCAATTAAGTTATTCAATTATAACATATCTTTATTAAATTGAATTTTAAAAAATATTTAAAGCAATGTTCGGAATTGCTATATTGTTAGTATTCTCTTCAAAAATATATAAGAACATTAATTCACCAACCTGGTAGCTTATTATTAATGAGCAACTATATTCTATATTTCTTTTTGGGCCAGTTCAACATAAAAAAGACCATATTCTAAAAGATTTCTTTAATATATGGAAGAATGAATAAGTCTTTGTGTAAAAATCATTGACATTTATATCAACCTTAGTTTTTATAAATTTAATTTCTTTAATCTAATCCCTTTTTTTTAGATTTGTTTTCTAAATACAAGATTTCTTTCTCTTCATTCTCACATTAAAAATATGTTTTCTCATAAACCTTCCAACTGTTTCAGCATTCAGGTCACTTGGTTCTCTGTCTCTATTTAGTTTCTAATCATTCTAACCACTTTGGTACAAAACCCTTTTTTCTAACCATTTAGGATTTTTGGCTATTCTGTTCTTTTTATTATCCCATAATCTTTGTTCTCATACTGTTAGCTTCATTAATTTAAAATCAATTTGAATATTTTTGAGCATAAATTTAATACAATTGCTGATCTAAAATTTTATTATTCCTCCCGTTTCGTGGCATGATCAAAAGACATTTAATGCATAGACAAGTTATGTTCTTAATTAATGGTAAATCTGAAAACATCCCTCTCAATCTGTAAACAAAATTTTAAATTTATGTCCTCTTTAATTTATCTGAGTTTTAAAAAAAAATTTTTAGAAGCAACTTTACCTATACACATAAGTTCAAGCTCATGTCATTTTATGCTATAATATCAACCAAAAAAAAAAATATATATATATATATATATATATATATATCGGCTTTGGTTAACTTACTGTTTAAGATAAACCAAACAGTTTGTACAATGAATGAAACATTGTGTGTATTCAATTATTGTATATTGTGATATTATAAATTAGGTTATTTATATTTAATTTATGATTTATGACTTGTTTCATTTTTTAGTCATGTTTATAGTCAATCAGAAGAAGAATATTTATTGTTTATTAGGATTATATATTGCACAAATTTACCATTTATCAGTGGCTAGTTGTTAGTCTTTGTATATTGTTCAACTTTCTAAACTTTATTTTACAAAAGTATTATTATTTATTTGCATTTTAATTGTAAATATGATTATATTTTTTAACTGCTTAAATAAATTATTTGATTTTATTATATTAACGTTCATGAATGTTAACCTGTGGTAATTACCCTTACTAAAATTTCAATTTTTATTTTTTTCATTTAAAAAAAATAAATGTTTGGTTAAATACAACTATAATAGTATTATGCATTAATACTGAAATATATTATACACATTGAAATATAGACAATATTTTAATAATTTATTTTGTATCTACTGAATTTATAATTGTATGTTGTTTATGTAAATATACTTTTATAAGTTCTCCTTTTTTTTTTTTTACTAACACCCTTTATTCTATCTTTTTTTGTTTTTAATTTTATGAACATTTAAATACGTTTATTAACATTGTTTGAAATTAATGGGTTGATTAGCATGCTTTCAATTGTTCTTTAGGAAATCAAGATTTTTTGAGGTACAACAGATAAGATAGAAAAGGAGCTTAAAATGTTTATCCATGGTAGCTATTTTATTTATTGATTTTCGAGATTTCAAATTTTATTTTTTTTCTCTAAGAACAGATTTCTTTTATAAATCATAATTTCAGAAAATGAACATTATTTAACGTGGATTACATGTTTTCAATGAAACTACATGAAATTTTATTACTAAACATAAACTTTTAAAGTTTTTTCTAAGTTTTAAAAAGAAGTACTTAAAATCCAACGAATCATGCCAATGCCATTGTTTAAAATACGACTTAATTGTACTTCTGTGAAAGAAGAAATAAAATATAAAAATAATTCATGGATATGTTTATAACTTTAAATACTTTTGCTGTAGTTTAATAACTCTAGATATGATATTATACTTTAATAATTAGATATTATACTTAGGTAATTAGGTATAATTAGGCAAAATTTATACCTTTATTCACAGTTCTATATTTCAACATAGCAATCACCTACTCTGGAACCAACTTGCTCATATGTCTATATAGATATTACTTTTCCAACTAGAAATATCACTGAAATAACAGTACACAAAAATGTTGAAATTGGAGTTAGTCATTCTGTCAATCAAAGGCTCAGAGACTGAAGTTATGTGCTTTATAAAACTAGATTTTTATTGCCTACCGTCGATACAATAAATTTGTTATAGTACAAGGACATAAAGTTATGTTACAGTAAATACCATTTATCTTAATTTTTTAAATAATTCTCTAATTAATTATCTAAACATACATTTCTCTAATTAATTAATAAATATTTTATTTTATCAAGCAAGAAAATGATTACTTGATTTATTTTTTGTGCTCATCCCTCTCATTATAATTTGAATCATGAATTTGCGTAATAAGCAAGTTGAAAATTGATTTAACTCTCAGATACTAAACAACTTTTAGGATGAAAACGAACCAGGCGATACTAATGATCATGCATAATGGGAGGTATTTAAACCATTAAAGGTCATTGTTATTTGAATGAAGTTTAATACTTCTTTTTAAGAACTTCTTTTGTTATTTTCTTTTGTGTTTAACCTTCATTATTCTTTTATGCTTTGTTGTTCTATTTTCTTTTCTTTCAGTAAATTCTTCCTCATTCTTTTACTTGTTGATTAACCCATACTTCTATTTCATTATTTGTTTTTTAGTATTTTAATTAAAATTAAATCTTAACACATATAAATTTGTTGAGTTGAATAATAACAAATGACTTAAGAGGTAACCACCACTAAATTAGAATATAGGACTGGATTTTTATGAGGAAGCATAACCTTCTATATTAAGATTTCAATAGGATTAAGTGAAAGTCATTATATATATATTTATTTATTTATTTTTCCTTTTTGCTGAATTTTTACTTCTTATTTTGAGCTTTGGCAAAACCCTTGGTTTTAAAACAAAGAATATATAAAAACAACAGTTATATGGCAATCGACCTTTAATCTTATATACTACCATAGTATGGTGGCAAAAGGCCACTGCAAGCAAACCCAGAGTCCTGACAGGTAAACTACAAGGGTGTATATGTTGTGACTATTGGTACCATGAGCAATCTAAAAGCACAAACACCTAGATGTAGAACAGCAATATGTCTTTCAAACTGAGTTAGTAGCTAAGTAGTAATGTGAATGCTCAAATTCTAATAGAAGAAAGAGTGAGGGAAGGCAATTTTTTATAATTGTGGGTATCCAAGCAGCTATTGGTGCCCTGAGTGGCTATGTAATCTGGTCTAAATTGGTGTGTAAATACAAAAGCAACTCAAACATTCTATCTGGAAACAGGAAGGTGAGGGTTGAGTCTAACACTCAGGCACTTCATATAATTAGAAGGTGGATATGAAAAGCTCAGATAAGATATCTTCTACAACAGAGCTCATCTGTAGCATTAGCCTCAGCTATGTAAAAATACAAACTAACTATTGACTTCATAATAAATTAATAAAACCTCTTCAATCTGAATTAACTGAGCCACTAATCTGCTAATACAGCATTATAGAAGATACAAATATCCATGGTATAATAATCCATGATATAAGCATTAAGCCTTAGCTTCGTTAAAAATACACTTCAAACATTTTATAATAGCTGAACATTGCCAGAAAATAATTTTGATTCAAAGCAGAGCGGTACGTGAAAGTTGTGTCTTGCGCGCACCAGATTTATTTTTGTCGATTGATTTAATTTTAATCCACTTGTTTTTTTAGGAATGGCCATCTAATGATATCGACAGTGTAATATCACATGGTTATTTCTAGTTCATCAGAATTCGGTTTTGTAAATGCGATATTTGTACATTTGGCTGCAACTGTATTATTGATCCTAATAGTATATTCAAATTTGCAATGACTATTGACCTGTTTTGTGTAAAATAGTGCACAAGACACCTAAATTTGTGCCCATGATTAAATTTTCTTTTTCCTGCTAATCAACCATTTGAGTAAAAGCAGAATGTTTTAATTAAAACAAGACTTTTTACAGTAATTCAATGGCATTTTTTGAAAATTTAAATAAATTGATTAAGAAAGAAACATGAAAAAAATTATAATAATTAAAGTTAGCTGTTGAGATGGTTGGTCATCTTGAATAATGTTTTTTATTTAAGTAAATAAAATAAATCTATTTGTTCCTGATCTTACATTTTACTATATTGCAGTGTATTCCGCTATTAATTATTTCTTGCTGCCTCTATTTTGTTTAAGACTCCAACAACAGACTCTAGTTACTCCACTAGTAAATGAAGCTTAGTTGAAATTGTTCTGCAACTACCTGTGGAAAAAATAGTCAAGGACAAGAAGAATCTTTTCTCCATAACGTGAATAAGACTTCGATTTGTTGAAAACGGATAATTACAACAATTATTTCTTCTTTCGGTTCCTTTTCCATCTCTTTGGTTAATAAAAAACAAAAAACAAAAGTTTGAAATTGTCGGTTCATATTTTACCCATTTTCAGCACTAACCCTTCCATTAGCGGAGACCGTCCATCACTGTCCAGTTTCCAGTCGTGACTCCACTGCCACAGTGATGGGCAGCTCGCAATAGAAAAAGAATCTGCCCTTCCGCCTAAATAAAGAAACAAAATGAAAAACGAGCCTCCATTTCGCTGCCACTATTATCTGGTCCGGCCTCGACGTAGAGGGAACTCCAGAGCAATTAGCTGCGATCTTAGTGACCTTGCCCAATGACTCAGACCGATCCCTATTTCAAGAGTTATCGTTTCCGACGTGATAACCTTAATTTGTGGACATTTTTATACATACTGTTTATACTTCAAGTTTATCTGTTCGTGTTCTCAATGAAAGATATATACACAAAATTCTCTTTCAACTGGGATACCTCAAACGAATATTAATACTAGTAAGGAGATAAGTCAAGCAAGTAGACAAACTGATTTTTGTTAACATTAGAATAACCAAAAAACCAAGTTTCAAAAGCAATGATTGTCTTAGTATAATAGTGGAGAAGGAGATAAATTATCTAAACATCTAGATCATCACGTATAATCAAGTTTTAAAACAACAAACCATATTACAACAATTTAAAAAAAAACAATTTTTTTATTTTACCAAAAACGATTTTGGCAAAATTACTCAAAATTCTCTTCTTAAAATGAAAATTGTTATAAACTAATGAATTTGATTAATTTTATAAAAATTTCAAAGGCATCAGACCACCCGATAAATCCTTTTGAATTCTATCTGATTCTGGCAGGTAGTAAATTACAAGAAATTATGCACTTTGGGACTCTTACCTGGATGGTAAGGGCTAGTTATTGGATAATATAAGCTCTTGGGTTATAAAGTAAAAGGAAAAATTCAAACACAATTAATACATACTCTGCGTAGTATGTTTTTGCTGTCGAAAGGCAACCTAGTGTAAAGTAAAAAACAACGATTCCTAACTTTTATAAACCCAATCCTTTTTCTCTAAAAAAAAAATTTATTATTTTTAAAATTAATTAAATTAAAATTAAGGTTTTTATATGCTAGGGATGTTACAGTAAATCTTTCGTCAAAATCGGTTTACCGGAAGTGGCACTTTATATCATGGACTGAACACATTTTTACAATTTTCTCGGAAACAGATTTTGATTAAATTCATTATGTCAGTGTAAAATTAAGCAGTTTTAAATAAAATAGTAGTTTTTATTTAAAATTGTTTATTATTAGTTATTTAAATAATAAAGTAGTTTTTATTCTGATTGATGTCCTCTAGCAGGGCTTAAATGGCTAATTTTCAATATTAGCTTCCTCTAAAGTACCTTTAATTTTTTTTATTTAAAATAATTGACTATTTCACATTTATCTCTAATATAAAATATAGCTAAATATTAAATATTCAAGAATTTAATAATTACCTAAAGGAGAAATAAAAAATCATAACGGAGAATAGTTGTAATTGATCTCACTCGAGCTCGCCCGGAAGATTATAACAGGCTTCCATACGTAACATGAGCTTAATATAATATGGACTCCGACAATATTATATAAATATAAATATGCGGTTTTCATAAATGATATTGTTGGTATTATTTAATATTTAATTGTATAGCTTACACCGATTTAAATATTAAAATGTATATATATATATATATATATATATATATATATATAAAGGTACTTATTCAAATAAAAATATCCACAATGAAATATAAATATTTCTGGCGTCTATTAGTTTTACTTTTACTTCTTCTTTGCCTGAAAATACTTATTTCTGCTAAGAAAAGGGTGGTAAGTGAAAGTTGTGTGATTCGCGCACCGCACCGGATTTTTTTTACAGTTGGTTTAAGAACATACAGGTGTTTTCGTTAAAGACATTTAAATAGTAGTGGCAAGTCAATTTTTTCAATTGTTTCCTCAAAGCCAATTTTCAATATATTACCTTTTTATCTTAAACATGAAGCTATTCGTTATGTTTATTAATAATAATGGAAGCATACACAAATTTATAAATAATGTATTATTTCTAAATAAAAACGAAAATTACAAATAGTCTTACAATCCATTATAAATATAATCTTTCAAGCGTTTTACTCAAATAAATCTCTTTTAACATATATCACCCAGGATAAAGATCTTAATATTGCATGCCACTTAAGTGTTTATTCAGAGGTGACAAATCACGACTTCCACAATGAGTTACTAATAAATTTGCTTGGAAACATTAAAGTAATTTCCATGATGGTTAGTGTTTTTTTTTTTCTTTTGTTTTTTACAGGTAGATTAGATTTTGAAATATTTAAGCCGGTTGTCCGTGGTAATGCAATTCATCTTCAATGAGCAATTACTATCGTATAAAGGCTTGATCAAAACGTACACACATTAATTTGATTTGATAGTTTTTTTTCTTATCATGGCTGTCAACAGAACGAATTACACAAGAAACATGAATCGTTTATTTGCAAAAGTACTTTTTCCTTCTACTTCTACCTATGTTTCTACAATGTAGCTCCTAACATTTAGTAAATCCGCACATGTTATTAACAATGTTAATCATGTAGTAAATAGAAGAGGAGTTGTTGGTTTGAAGTATTCAGTAAAAAATACAAAGTAAAAATAAATAAATGGTATTTATTTTTGCTGACGTTTCGGCCTATTTTTTTTTTCTAAGTTCCTAACTTTTCTACCGTTATGTTGTATATCCTAACTTTGCTTCCGCTATTTTATATTGTGTTATTTATATATTAAATGAGTTCCTTTCTGTTACTGATATTATTTTTTTTTCATAAGTTCCTAACTTCGTTATCGTTATGTTGTACATCTTAACTTTGCTTCCACTACTGTCTATTCCTAACTTTGTTATCGTTACTTCATATTTCCTTTATTTATATTTCTTCCTCTCCACTTATTTATTAATGTTGAGTTTATTCTAGCTACATGTTATTGAACAATACCTTTCACCTACATATATTATTATTTTCTTTTTAATATTAATAGTTTTCCATGTGAAAAAAAAAGAACTGTACCACTACAAGCCATATGCATGGCCTTGTACTAACAAGGCCAACGGTTGTGCAGAGACGTAGTTGGGCCGAGATCATGCTCAACCGCTAGGTTTTCCCCTTTATTTAGTTATTTAATTAAAATAACCTAGTTCATAGAGGCTGACTGTGCCTCAGGAGGATCTTCCGACCTCAAGACCCATCCACAGCTGATGAAGAATTACGAGTCATCAGCCGGATTCGAAGCTGGGATTTTGAGCTTTGGAAGTCAATACTCATCCACTGAGCTACCCGTTCCCGTTCCTTGTTTCAACAATAGTATCTCATACCTATTGTTAACTTGTCTTTCCTTAGCCCTGATGAGGCAACTTATATGCTCAAAAAAGGTATTAATAGGATTTTCATTGTTATGAATTATTTACGTTATATTAAGTAAATAAAACTTATATATTTGTTCCAAATGCTTTATTAATTAAATGTTAACATTAAATTCATATTAAATGTTCTTCAAAGTGAATGTAGGTCCACGACAATGGCTAAATGTTAATTATAAAAATTAATGGATTGACTGTGCAGGACCAGTGGCTTGGCCTACACGCTCTCCAGACTTGATACCACTGGATTTTTTTGTTTGGGGTAACATTAAACAAAAAGTCTATGCAAGTCTGGTCAATGACCTTATTCCTTCCGAACAAAGATTATTTGAATCTTGTGAAACAATAACACATATCCAGTGCCGCTGCTGCTGTTGAAGAAAGATGTCGAGCCTGTCTTAGTGCTCAGGAAAAGTAGTTAGAACAAATAAATAGGTTTTATTTACTTCATATAACGTTAAAAATCCATAACAACGAAAATCTTTAGGTGTGAATACCTCTTAAACAATGCGTTTGCAGGCATAGCTTCAGAGGATTTTTTTTTCTTTTTTTTAGGTCCTTAATTCTTTTTGCAACTTGGCCACTTAACCCTGAAACACCCTGTACATATATTTATAATATGCTACTATATATATATATATATATATATATATATATATATATATAGTAGCATATTATAAATATATATAGTCATATATTTAACATTATTAACAAACTAAACACACACCTGTTTGAACAAGTACTATAGGGTCGGGACTTAGAAAGGGTCAAACGGAGTATTTGCCTAGGTTGCCATAATTTAGGGGATAAATTTCGAACGAAATAGTATTTTTAGGTTATATAAAAATATTTGGTTTTTTTTTTATTGTTATGATCTTTATTCAGTTGATCAAATGATTTTATGTTGTTATGTGTTGAGATTTATTTTAAAATTTATTACCTAAAATACTGCTATAATACTGTTGACTTTTATTATTTGGGAAGGGAGGAAGTAAAAGAAGGGGAGACAAAATTAAAATTCTCTCTTCCAGAATTAATCCTACTTTCGACCTAGAAATGCCAAATTTCAATATAAATAAATCAAAATACAAAAACTATGGATAGGAGTAACAATAACGTATTTGGATAGATTTTCGGGAGTTCAGTTTTTGGAAATGAAAAATTTCTCAAATGACTGATTCTTTTCTGATTTCTTATTGTTTTTCCCTTAATAGACAGTCATTAAAATGAGGTAATGTTTATTACGAAATATATTATCCAAAATTAGTTATACAAAACTTTTACAACGAAAAAACTTCTCTATATTATCAATTTGCTCACCCGCGTTATCCATTCTTTCGATAACAGATCGCAGCCCACTATAACTCATATTCCCACTATAACCTTTCCATAAAGCAGCTTCTTTTAGCAAATCTTTAATTATTTCTATTTGAGTTCTAGCAATGGGTGGTTTCTGTACAAGTGTTTTCATGCCATTATATTTCTCTATATCACATTTACTAGATGTATATTTATTTTTATACCAATGTAAATTTCATGAATTAAAGAAAAAACAAATTATCAAGTGAGCTAGTATCCATCAATCCTCCTCGGATAAATCCACATTATTTACTTCTTTATAAATATCATTTTCAACCTACCCCATCAATTTATTATCAAAATATTTTTTACGAATTTACTGACTGGTTTGCATGTGATATCAAGAACGCTGTTATACTGGGATATAT